TGATGTTTTTATATGATGCCACTTTCTTTAGATTCGTGTCAAGTGAGTCTATAAATTTATCTATATTTTGGGAGGGAGGTCTATATACGGCAATAATTACTATATCAGGATTTATAGTAATTAATAAACAGTTAGTATCTGCAAACTGTGGTTCTGAAATGCTTATATTTAAATTATTTTTTACATAAACTACTAAGCCATCATTCTGATTAATGATTCTATTCGTTCTGTGAGAGCTGTATCCTGTAAGAGTTGGTAAAACGGTCATGACATTTGTCAACCAGCACTCTGTTAAAATAATAATATCACATCTAATATCGATATTTTGCAATAATACTTGGAAATCCAGCATATTTTTATTTATGCTGCGAATGTTTTGCGTGAGTAATGTTAATGTTTTTTTCCCAGTGTTAATAAAGTTTTTGCACTCATCAACATTACAAATCCAAGTATCTGACACAGAAAAACAATCTAAGTCACCAATAAGTTGGTTTGTCATATTAAAATATTAACTAAGAAGTGTATAAAAATATGTGCTAACTAAGCTAAACTAATTACTGGCGCTCTTAGGCGCCTTCATAATCTATGGTGTTAATATAGTAGTCCTCAGCAAATTTCCGGGCGGGACAACTTACGTCACCAGTCGGGTGGTCGCATTTCCTTTTGAAACGCTTACATGTCGCGCAATTTGGAGGTGCAGCTTTGTTGCTGCATTCCTTGAAGGAGTGACCAGAGTCACCGCAGAGGTGGCAGGTAGGGCTCGTTTCACGGCAGTACTTTGCTGCATGTCCAAATTGCTGGCAATTAAAACATCTCGTAACTATTGTGTAGTCCCGGACGGCACAAGAGGTCCAATTTATAAAAAGTCGACCTTGGCCTAGCAAAATTTTTCGTATGTTAGGTGGCACCTCTAGCACGTAATTACAGGTCGAGAGATTTTTCTTGCCCGATTTATGGCTAAGTTTTATGGTAGCCAATGTGGGCTCACGTGGGGAATTGGGCATTTTATCGGAGAGGTTTTGCTCGTAGATACAGTCTAGAACTTCCTTTTCTGATAACGCTGAGGGTACACCAATCACGGCAATCTTCGGTCGTCGTTTGGCCGGCTCCTGTACAGTGAGGCCCGATGAAACTAATTTCTCCGCATTTTTTAGTTTATCAATATCCGCTTTATTTTCGGTGCTTATTATAACACCACCATCTCGAATTTTCCTCACACTACGAACATGCAACTTCATGACTTCAGGCGAGATAATTTTTTGAACGAGTGATTTAGTATCGTCACTTGTTTTGGTTTTGTCACTAGGATAGATAGCCACAGAGCTCAAGTTTTGTGGACGCACATAGTTATCTGCACCCTTTTTCACGACATTTGCATATGAGCTAGTTTCATTTAATTTAAATGAGCTAGAAATTTTGTCTTGGAACTGTTGTAGGGACTGTGCAAGGGTTTGTTGTTCTCTAAGGTTTTGGATAGTAGAGTGCGCTAGAAGTGCTTTTTGTTTTAAGGCCTGATAAGCAACAGCCATCTCGGATGTGCCCTTTAGGGCATTACGGCACAGGTTTTGCACTTTGGTCTTATGTTCCGAATTCATCTTCCCATCTGTCACGATAGAACAGACTTCGGCTAGGATAGAGTCCATATTTCTGGTCCATTTTAAAATTTCTTCAGTAGAGATCAGATCCCGGAGTAGGATAGGCTCCTCGGAAGCATTAGGTTTGGGCTCAGAAGGACGACATTCTTGAGTCGGTGTTGGTGGTGGACTTCGTCGCAGCAGCTGGCTACGGCTAAACGGGCTGGCGCCTGGATTAGACATATTCCGCCCACAGAACACAAAATTCTTTAATATAGTCTTATTTCATTATTGTAAGTATAACACTAGAATAGTTCCACAACAAGCACTTCAATAAGTTCTAATTTGCTTACACTGCATAAAACAATTTAAAATTATTGATTTAATTTCATACTATGGAGAAAATGAACACGTCCGCGTAATAAAGCGACTGAATCGCAATCGAAGCAATAATACCTACCTATAATAAGAAACATATTATCCTGGCATGACCTACAGAATCTCCCTCAAGATGTAAACATAACACGAACCTTGTTTATTATTCAAGTTTGACACCACCTGAAATAGAATTAAAATCATACGCAAAGTGTCAAAGGTCGACACCGAAAATAGAAAGTTGTTTACATGTTATTACAAAACAAAATGAATTATGGTTTTATGGTGCAGGCTATGTCGGCGGCATGTCACCGAACTCCAGTTTGCATTTCACAGGAAATGTTATTTCCCGTAGTCGGGCTGCGGCTAACGGGGCTTGTTTCAACGTAAACAACCATTATAATGCGCTTTAAAACCATTGTAACTTCCTACCTTCATCCCTTTACGTTTGTTGCTTGTAAAATTCGCTGAGCTGTGTTGATTAGTATAAATGTGTACGAGTTTATTTTCAGCTGTTTAATGAGCTTTTTTATACACTTTCATTCATTTTAGTATTTAGATAATTGGATACTTTGGTACTGAATTTGTATTATATTCATATCTATATGTTGTTAAAAGAATGTGCACTTGTCTAGTAATGTGTTTGTTAACATTTAATATTAATTCTCCATGGATTTGGTAATCTTGGTCTGCGGCCTTGTCACATAATTATTTTTTTCCTTAATGTCTAATCAATATTTTTGAAGTGTCTATGTCACACACTTCAACTAACCACAACTATAATTAGTAGTAATGGGTTAAAAGGATTGATGTTGTCTTTGATTTAAGTAGAAGGTCAGACGATGCTGGCTCGAAAATAAAACCCTCCATTGAAGATTAATAAACCTTCTTCTTTTAAGAGCATTGTCGATAACTCTATTTTATCGAACTGTTACTACATAAAGGTTAAAATATAACACTTGAGTAAAACTTAATACAATCTTTATAAAATGGATTACCTTTCTAGTGCGTACATAGTTTTAAATATTCAAAGCCAAAATTTTCCTAAACTAACATCGTTATTGAAATCATTTTACCAATCGCGAATTGATATTTAAATATTTATAATCGAGGTACGAGGGATTTACGGATGAATGACTGATTGGCACATGCCAAACTCCAAAATCATTTATAAGAGCAATTGAAAATTATGATATTCGCTACAACATACATAAGTACATCATTACCATATTAGTAAGCTTTATAATCCCCGAAGAGTTAGGAAGAGATACGCAATGTCATATAATGAATTTAACACCAACCACCATTTTATTAATGAGTCCCATGAAACAGAGATGAGTCTATTGTCATACACTGGATGACGATTCCAGACTCCAGGTTATCATAATGTTCGCCATGTCCTCAGGGATGTAGACGATCTCCGGCCACCGTAAGTGCTGGTCTGTGGACGACGAGCAAGGCTCGCCGCCCGACCAGAACCTCATATAGCCAGACTACCACAGATGGGGCCCAGTAGGGCTGATGCCCGATACAGAGCCGCGGAAGGCTTAACGGGTTGCCGGGGCACCGGCTCGAAGAGCTAGGACTAGGAACGTGGTAGTTTTTACTCAGTAAGAGTGACACTCCCTCTCGCCTAACTCAAGGCGGAAAAAGGCATTGGATGGTTTTCCACCCTCAAAAAAAAGTAACATTCTTTAAACCTCAATGCCACATCAAACCTTACAGTAACTTTAAAACAGCCATGTAATAAAATGAGAATATCAGAATACGTAATAAAATGTAGATATGTCCAAAACGTCTCGCTGGCCATACAGTTTTCTAATAAAGGTCTCGTCTCACCCAATATTATTCATACGGAACCCTTTTAGAGCTGTACCTCGGTTCATTGCCTCTGAGATTGCTCTTTCAGACCGGTCATATGGGATTTGTGTTCTTTTCAAAAGCTATTGAGAACATTCTTTTGCAAATTACATACATTTATTGTGAGGCATTTATGTTTTGGTCGCTTCAGAAGTTTAATTAAATTGCTTTGAGCTCTAAAAACATAATATCCATCGAAGATATTTTTTGATGTGGTTAATACTTTATTTGGACTCACTAGCTACTGTTTTGGAACATTTCCCTTAAAACTAACTGATACACCATAAGGACTTTGATATGAATATTTTGGTTCGTACACATGTAGACATTATAATAGGATTGGAATATTTTGTAACATATTCAAAACTGCAGCTATAAGTCAATTTATTATTATCAATACATGCACGTAGGACACACGTGTCGACATGCTACGTGTATTGAAGTTGTTTGATGCATAAGCTGCTACTGCACGTCTCACAAGGCACCCAGTAGATCTATACAACAACCCTCGCTCAATATCATAAATTAAATACATAACCCTTTTTAAATGGCCGGCAACGCACCTATGACTCTTCTGGTGTTACGGGTGTCCATAGGCGGCACTGATCGCTTACAATCAGGTGATCCGACTGTTCGGATGCCTTCTATTCCATTAAAAAGGAAATACTCTTTTCTGCATTCCATTTTGACAACTGTCAGGTAACTGACACAAATGTTGACAGCTGACAGAATTTGCCAATACAATGCCGATTTATTAAAATGTGTTTTTTTAAAACAATAGCCAAAGGAAAATTAATGTAATTATCTCATTGTTCATTATTGATTCAGTAATAGGCAAAGTCTTTTTACTTTTCAGTTGTAGGTATTCGTGAAATATGGTTATATACTTCATTTAAATGGAAGCCAAGATTTTAGCTTTCGACGAGTGGTGTAGTTCTAGTCCCTTACTACCTAAATCCCTACATTACTGTGTATTTCTAAAATAATAAAAGTCAAATACACCCAGCGGAGACGAAACCTTGCCTCAGAACCTATCACATAAAAGATTCAAGTTCGATCCAATCTCAATTGGCTATTCGTTAATGATTCAAAGGGAAAACTTTGATAAACTCAATCAACCAATTATATTAAACTCTTCAAATAGTAGAGTTTAATTAAAAATACTCATGTTAACAAAAATTTTGTTCGCAGGTTGAAAAGCAAAACGAAAATGGAGTCAGATGAGAACTGCCGACCGAAACCTGAAGAAATAGGTAAGTTTTTAATGTAGTTAGCTCCGTGAAATAATTCGAGACTAAGTAAGCGCGTCTACTATGCAAAATATTTTAATTGGTGAGATAGAACTTTATTCAATTAAGCTTTGCAGTTTAAAATTACACTTTTACGAGTATTGTGTACTTTAATGTTTATCGTAATTATTTTAATTACTGTTTATTTTGTTTGATACTTGAATTTCACTTATTTGTAACTTAAAACAACTATCATTGTTTAAGAATTAATTAAAAATGGCAATCAAAAATAACTTTTATCTGATTTACTTTTATCTTTTCAAGTACCAGTGAGTTACGCAATCAATTCACGAGTGCTTGCACATGTTCATAAAGTCTGAACTCCCAAATACATAATCCCTGTTAACAGCTGACAAGATTGCAAAATTAATTCTAACCCACTTTGAGAGCTTAATACCTAGCACATAGCGCATTATGTACTTGCATACAGCGTATGTAGGTACGGGTAGCAATCTAAATTCAGAATTAAGTCGAAGTTAACAAGGGAACAGGGGAGAGCCAACAAGATAATAATATTAGCAAGTTGTCGCTCATTTCACCCGGTTATGAACTTGAGATTAACCTGAATTTGGCATAAAGGGAGTTGCTTGAACGAATGGAGTTTATATGTGGAACTCTGTTAGTGATGGATGCAAATAGCAAATGTTCTTTTGAGTGTATTGCTGTTGTTGTTTATTGGTTTTCTTCAATAATATGAATTAATTAGTCAGTTTTTGAACAGTTTGAGTTTGTGTAATCCATACTTAATGGTATAAGTGTGAAAGTGTGTATTTGTTCGTCTTTGACGGCAAAGTGCGGCGACGAATTGACGTGATCTTTTAATTAGAGATGATTGGAGGGATAGATATTGACATAGGCTATGAAACATCATGCTACGATTAATAGGAGCCAAGCAGATAGGCGAGTTAAAACGCATGGGAGTAGCTAGTAGGTGTATATTTACGAATGATATTTGCTTGTACTTGTGTTAAACACTGTTTAAAAATTTTAGCCAAAAAGCTATAAAGATAATTTTCCGACGTCGAAAATGAATTAAAACATAAAATTATAGAATGGTTGTAAACATAGTTTGTGTTGTTTCAGAAAATTCGGAGGTTCAGCCGCCGCGGGCGACGGTTGAGAAACCTTTTCTGCTATCCGATGGAAGGTGAGTTTCTACATTATAAAGTTATGTTTTTGTGTAGTAAAGCCTCACCTTAAAAGTTTTTAATAATCTAACTTAGTTTCTGTCTGAAGTAATATGATTTAAACCGTACTTATATTGCGTTAAAATGAAATAGTCATTACAATACCAACTTTATTTTTGTTTTTCTATATTGTTTATTTAAACTCACCGTACTATTCGATATTAACATTTTCAAATTAATTAAATACAGTTCAGCCGGTCGTGGAAACATTGTACTTATTTACTTTTAATTAATGGATTTTCATAATCAAAATGGTACACATTGTATGTGGGTCTGGAATAAGTTTAATTTAGGCATATTTATTATCACTACATAGTATAAAACAAAGTCGCTATCCACCGTCTGTCTTTCCCTATGTATGCTTAGATCTGTAAAACTACGCAACAGATTTTGACGCGGTTTTTTTTTAATAGATAGAGTGATTCTTAATAAAGGTTTATATGCATAATACATATTATGCATATAAACCTTTCTTAAGATGCATGTGCATGTTGCGCCTGGACAAAGCCGGAGCGGGTCGCTAGTGAAAAACCAAAAAAGCTTAATTACTTTCCCCTTCCCCAATCTCCCCAATCCCTGAATCCCCAACGATCCTCAAACTCCTAATCCCCAAAAAGCCGGTGACGTACTTGTAACGCCCCTGGTGTTCCAGGTGTCCATGGGCGACGCCAATTGCTTACCATCAGGTGATCCGTCTCCTCGTTTACCGGCTTATGCCATAAAAAAACTGTGATTTGTTTGAGAAGACAAACTTTTAGGTAATAAAAATAATTTTGAGATTGTATGAAATTAATAATCTCGTAAAATGAAACTGACCTACCTCAAAAATAGCATTGCTGTCTACAATCAGAAGTATTACGAAAAATTGTATGAAAGTTCTTATTTTCGCCGACTCGCAAGTTAAATTTAACACCGTCCTTTAAACCGTATAATCGTTACTTTCACTCGTACAATTATGCAAATGGAGGCCTTTTTGTAGACAGCACTGCTAGAATAGTCGTGGTTTCAGTAATTTATTCAACGCTTGCCTGAAAATATGGCATTCGTTAAGTTCCACAATTCATGAGAATATTCCACCTAGAGGCTTCACTTGTAATATAAATGTTAAACCGTGGATACCGTGGAACCGCTGTATTCTTAGCACAGAATAACTCATTAATATATTCCATCGATTTTAATAAGTAGATTAAAATTATGTTGATTCTGTTCTCATCTGAATTTCATAATGAAATGCTTTTCATACATACCTATGTAGGTAATCGTATTTGTATAAATACATTTAAAAAGGATATTTTATTTTCGGACAATACATAACATAACATCACGCCTTTTATCCCCGAGGGGGAAGTCAGAGGTGCACATTAAGCCACTGTACAATGTAACACCCACTTTTCACTATTTATGTTATGAGTCCCATGTTATGGGGGGTTAGCTTATTGGCATATACTGGGCACGAGTCCAGACTCCGTACTTTTACTAAGATTTTTTTAAAAACCTAGTAATACATTGCCGGACCCAGGAATCGAACTCGAGATCCCTTGCCGGGCAGTCGTACTTGCGACCGTTCGGCAAACGAGGCAGGATAATACAATACAAAACATATCTATTTTATTAAATTAATTTGACAAACAATAACACGCTGTATTATTGTTTACATAATAATCAAACAAAAGAAAATAAAAGTAAAAAAATAAAATTGTTTACATAGATACCTGAAATTATCTCTGTTTTCATTATGTGCCACTCATGAAAAGTTTTTCAGAGGCACCTGAAAAGTAAATTAAGTACGGTACTCCAGACCCCGTAAAGTGGCCATGTAAAATTCAGGTTACGTACGTATCTCATAATTTCTGTACATAAAGCAAAACTTGTGAAATATAGGACAAAACGGAGAATTCTAAGTGAAATTGGGACTTAGAAATAATGTATGCTAATCCTTAAGCTAGCTGGCTATAACAAACAAATATTAGAAGAAAACTTTATATCATGAAATATATATATGTAGCTTATAAATGCTTATCGAGTACATACATAACCTTACGCCTGTCTCCCATAGGGATAGGCAGAGACTATGGAATACCAAAAGAGATGATGACAGGGTATGAAAATTAAAAATCTAATTAGTCCGTCAGTTAGGTAATAAAAAAAAATTAGACAAGTATTTTTTTATTTTGTCGTATAATAAAATGATAGTTACTTAGATAAAACGAATCAAAATTTAGGAGTGGGGACTTAAACGTCATTTCTACGTATAAAATGTATATAGAAGTGACGTCACGCGACATTTCAAATCATTATATCGTCAAGTATTCGTTTCTGTAAAAAAACAAAAAATACGTGTGTAATGTTTTAAAATTATCTACCAGACGGACATTAAAATAAAAATTAGTCATCTACCCTATTGTTACGATTCTTACATATCTATTTCATTGAATCAACAGTCATCAGTCTTTTATGTATCCTCGTCAGTAAAGGATACTAATTATAGAGTACCTACGTACTTAATGCTACCTACGAAATAATCTTATGGTATCAACTTTGCCTATTTCTATACTAATTCTACTACCTACTTCTTGTTGGTACACCTACTATTAAAACTATATTCATTTAAAATTTTAATAATAATGCTTACTTGATTTCCAACAGAGTCGAACTGGAAGCATGGCTGGACAAACCGACATACTCACATGGGGAATCCATAAGAGTTGGAGTGGTCGTCGCTAATCACTCCTCGAAGACTGTGCGACGGATCAAGGTACGTACAATTTACAAGCAGTTATTTATTATAGTTGTCAGATTCAGAAGTGTGTGAAACATACAACTGGTGTCAAAGAATATTACTAATTATTCATTTCAATTGAAGTCTCATGTCATATTTCATCATCATCATCATCATCAATAATAGCCCCTATGATCCACTGCTCGACAGTCATGTAACATTGTACATGTAACATTGTACATGTAACATTTCATCTTGGAAAATTACCTAAAAGTAAAGTAAAACACATACATTTTGTAAGCAAAACACTCACTTAGGTAACAAAACAGAAGCCATAAAGCTGAAGTTCCCAAAAAAAACTAGTTACGAACAAGATATCAGCTTCGTGTACAATATTCATTAAATTATGATGCTTCGTGAGCTCACGTCCACACTTTACAACAAAGGCACTCTGCTACCGAAAAGTTGTTACGTCAAAACGTGTATATACCTAATCTTTACATTTTGTAAACTCACCACCTGTATACGCAAACCACTGAGTAATATTTGCGTGTAAACTCTCAAGGGTAATTTTGAAACTAATGTATGTTTTTAATCCTTGCTAACATTATAAATCGGAAAGTAAGTTTGTTTGATTGTTTGTTTGTTCCGACTTCACGCCGTAACTACTAAACCGATTGCATTGAATTTTAGCAGACGTAAAGTTAGTAGTCTAGATTAAATAATAGGGTACTTTTTATCTTGAAAAAAATTGATATTCCCGAGGGAAAACAAAAGTAGGTATTGGTATAGATGGCGCTGTATGTATTGGTATATGTCACATAGGCTACTTTTTATGACGCGAGCGAAGCCGCGGGTAAAAGCTAGTAAGAAATAAACATGTTTTAAGAAACTATTTTATCTAAAAGTACGCATGGTCTATAATACCATGCTAAAGGGTTCTATTCGCGAGCGTAGGGGCGCGTCGAATTCCGCGCGTACCTCAAAGAGCCATCAGACCCACAGGGATGGAGCCCAATAGGGCTGATGCTGATACGGAGCAGCGGAGAACTCAAAAGCATGCTTTTATGCTGAAAATTACCATATTTTGTAACCAGTACCTTCATGTCAAGAATCTGTATTTTTGACTTTTGAGTCTGCAATTGCATGTTGCAAAGATTATTATAGACGCATAAAAAACTGCTAAGTTTGTGTTTGTTAAAAACTCGACAGAAAATATTGTAACAACTCCACACAATCCCTTTGCTCAATGTAACTTAGAATACATAAACATTAATGCAATCTTTCAGAGCCTCCTCTAATTTATTTTAATCTGATTAGCCTGCCTTGAGCTTTATTTCTAAAGAGATGTCCGTATTTTGTCTCGAGACACATGATGAAAATATATGAATGTTATTTTTCCATCCGCTAGGTGCACACTGTTCTTTGCTTTGAAGTTTTAATATTTATACTTCATATTTTTCTTTGACATTGGCCATTAAAACTCGGGTTAAATTATACAATAAACTGTGTGCTGAATAAATATCCATTGAACAAGCGTTTTTATGCTTAATAAAACAAAAAGAGTTAGCTGAAAAAGATGTAAGGTATCTTCACTTGTCTCTGAAAATAGGTACGTCTTGAAACAATAATAAACGAACATCCTAAAATTAGTGTATTATTTTCGTGGCATCAAATTCAAAGACTACGAACTCAATTATAACCCAGGGTTTATAATCCCTGATTGGACCGTGATTCCTTTACTTGTATATAAGCCGCCGTAGCAAGGGTTAGAATTTATGGCAAAACAATGGCCCGTCACGGATATACAAATCAACCCTCTGCCAAACCTTCAGGGATCACTAGACCGATGTTTTGTTAATGTTTAAATGCCAAATCAAACCCTTGTAACGATCCGTAGACTCAATTAATCCATTAATCACTTACCTTAATCAAAATGTAAACAATCCCAACAGATATTAGGTACCTAGATACCAACCATTCGTGGTCAAATGTTGCGTACATAATTAATGACAATCATAAGCTTCCTCCGACAGCTTCCCAATCCTATTATAAACTTGATAGAGCTGATTACCAAGCGAATTCCTCGGTTCACTTTATTATGACTATTAAATGTCTGTTTGTTTGTGTTTCCAAGAGTTTTATGTAGACTAAATACAATTACTTAGTCATTCATCAAAAATCTAGACAACTCACAAATAACTTTAGTAGCAGACACCAGATAGGATTTATTTTTATCAGTAAGTCATATCAAACTTTTTTACTAAGTTGATGGTAGCAGATTGCTTAGAAAACTTTGCACCTAGGAAATCAAAAACAATTTAAAATTAAGGCTGATTATATGAAATGGTACATGTATGGGAGCGAACGTCTCACTAATCAAATCATATTTTATCGCGTCCTAACGCGACTCCTGCCGTACGAGTCGCGACAAATTAGACTTTATCGCGCGTCACCGCACGGAGCGACATTTGACAAAATATATTATAAAAGATTCGCGAAATATATTCTCGTACGGAAGCAACTTGGAGGAGTGATTTGTTATACTTATTTATTTATTTTTATCGCCTCTGTACTGCCAGCGAGGAAACGTTCTGATCATTTATCCAAGTTACTTACTTAGAGAATGTTGTATTTAAGATAAGGAGCTTCGAGGACCCAATTTTTTATATTCCTAGCGTATTCAGTTCTATGTTTACACAAACAAAACAAATGTTTGTCTAGTTCTATCATTTTGTCTAAAAAAGGGTGGCATCATCCTTGAAAAGCGGTAACATATCAAATAATATCACGTAGCAACAGTTTATCGTTCACTCACCTCTACGAACTCGCTTAGTTCTAACAGATACAGTAACTAAGCACGCTTTGTATATTAAATTGGACCGCGCATTAGTTCCGCTTGTCGCGTCAAACCGCGTCGCCCTTAATGTGAAGCGACGTTTAATTATGACGTTGTTTCATACTTAATGTGCTATTTCCATTCAAGCTAGCACCAGGAAATTTCATTCATTTTCTTAAACGTCCTAATTATGAACTTAGTCCTTAATAGCAGTTTTAAAATTAAAAATGTATTTTCTTTCCTAGGCTTTGGTGGTTCAGCACGTCGACGTCTGCATGTTCTCTAACGGAAAGTTCAAGAATGTGGTTGCTCTCGTCAAAGGCAACGATGTAGTGTTGCCAGGGCAAACACACACCGATACGTTCACACTTACACCACATAGAGGTAGGTTTTATTTTGTTTGTATTTTGGAACTAACCACAAAGCTTTCAGACAATTTTCTTTACACCCTCGTCAATTTGTTTGTTGTCAGGTATCACCAAAAATTGGATAGCACTTGAAGATTCTTATTCAAAAACAGGCGCCAGTCTCGCCTCTACAGTCCTTAGCAACAACACGCCAGAGGACAGAAATGTGTTTGCGATATACGTGTCATATTACGTCAAAGTAAAGCTGACGTTTAGTGCGATGGGTGGAGATCTCTCATTAAAATTACCCTTTACGCTAACACATTCTTGCATCAACGAAGCGCCTACAGACAGCGTGACAGAAGAAGCTACTCATAAAATGATTCTAGAAGGCAAAGAAAATAGTGAAGATGAGGACAGCAAAGCTGAAATAGAACGGGACAAGCAGAACAATAACGGAGAAGAAGCACCAGGAGAAGATGCCGAAGTAAAGTCTCCAGAAGACCACCGATGTGTGGCTGATGTCCTAGTCAACATTGAGAACAAAATGGATCGACCGAAGAAGTTCGAAGGACAAACAGAAGTGCGAACTGTGAAGCCGAGTGATGAAGAGCTGGATCTTATCGTCAAGTACCCAGGTTCGGACACGTGATCCGACGAGGAACTAGACAATACAGGCCAGGGTGAAAAGACTGACACTAAAGTGATCACACCAGCAATTGTCAAATGCAAGCGAGAGGTCCAAATTCATAAGAGTGGTTTTGCAGAAAATCTTAAAAGAGCCGTGTGTTGTATAGACAGAAGACGACAGTCATAGCTTAGGGTGAATTTGTTCGTAATAGTTGTTTTAAAAGTACGAAATAAATAAATAAAAACCAATGTTGACACTTATTTCTAGTATTTGCAAAGCGCGAGGGCAAATAATAATGTGTGTCTTGTAAACAAACCCGGAATACCTACTTCAATTCCGTATACAAATACGTTTAAGGCACACTTTTCCGGGAAAATAACGTTAAATTATTTTTTCCGAATCGTTTGCTTTCGCGGTTTGTAAACATTAAATTGTTTTTGATTAGGTTTCGAAAGACGTTAGAAGACTAATTAAAACGACGTCAATCGAAAATCGTCTGATGTTAACGAATTGCATCTAGTCATTAAACTGAAGGTAATTTGAAGTGGATTTTACTATTTTAGGATTTTTCATAGATTAAGACTAGTCGGTTCGCCGGCACATGAAGCCTGAATGGATATTACGCTTACTAAATTGTAGTCAGTGTTAGTCGTGTTAGGGTTAAATTATAGTAATAACAATTTGTAAAGGTTTTTCAGTGTCATTTTTAGCGTTGTTTACAATGCAATATTATAATATTGAACCGCATTTTTTCATGTATAACCATCCATTCTATGTATAAATTCTACCGTCGATTTGGATAAAATATATTTTATGATTGATTAAATGTAAATGTAGTCAATAATGATCACTGAAATAAATGTTTAATTAATTTGGTCCGTCTGGAAAATGTTGTTCGATCAATTTCAAATTGAATGTTATTGCACTCGCAACTGACAAACTGTTAGAAATCCCACCTAGTGTACCTACGTATTTAAGAAAAGTAGAATTGATTCAATCAGTTTCAGAATAATTCTCAATCTTTACACAAGATATTAATTAGCTTTTCATCGTTCATCGCACTTAAACAAAGTTGTCTGAAGCAGCCCACAGATGTTTTAAATTACATTACGCTTTCATGAAGTTTTAGATAATTTTAGATCTGCCAATCAGCTACTTTAATTGTTATATTCGATCATAAATCATTTTACTAGATATCTACCAATCTAAGTTTTAGTATCCTTCATTTATTTCTAAAGGTTTTGTTTAATAAATACTTGCCTTTATTTTCAACGTCGCATTGATTAGTTTCAATCTAATCTAGATGAACGGTTTTTCACAAATCATTAATTATTATATGCAATGCCTGCAAACTTTAATCTTACAGTCCTAACTTTTGTGTTAATTTGGGCTTATACCTCCAGTCAGTTTGCCAGTTTTAATAATGGTTTTACAACAACCTATGCTCTGTAATAGCAACACTATTGATCTAGCTTGTCCTTTTTTAAGGGCGGAAAACCAACGAATTGCTTTGCCGCCTGGATGAAGCGAGAGGGAGTGTCAGACTCTTACTGACAAGAAACCGCCCCGTTTCTACCTCTACTCTTTGAGCCAGAGCTTCGGTAACCCGTTAAGGACATATTCTTGCAGATAAATCGCTTTGAGCTAGAAGTAAAATATTCTGATTTCAATGTGTTTGACACAAAGTACATATTTTGTTATTCAACTAAAAGCGAAGGCGTCAACGAAATTGGTACTCTCTTTTATATCGCGACAAACGTTTGATCCTCTTGATTTTCTCTTTATATTTCAGCTATTATAACTTTCACAGTTATTTAGAAATAAATAAAAGATACAAGAGAACTTTGATGGATATAAAAATAGTAGAATCTTTGCTACGGCTTATGTATTCGATAAAAAATAAGATTCAAAAGATCTATTTACAATTAGGTACAGCACCAATACGCAATGAAATCACCTTACCAAGTTTCAATGCATAAATTAATTAGTTACTTTGAGTATGATTACAAATTAGTATGATAGCTAAATTCCACGAAAGCTTGTAATTTAATTTGTTCGATTTTGAATAAAGCACTAAAGTCTAAATAAATAGTTTAAGCTTCATATATTTTGCTACATTAAATTGCATAATACATTATTATAAGCACATCTCATTAAGTAGTTATGAATTTCCTGTACAAGGAAACCTTTGTATGTTTTTAGATATTCATTAGAAATACTAGTTATTTGAATATTTTAATATGTAATGCGTATTGAACAATGTAGATGAAAATGTAACTTGAAATATTTTTCAGTGTTTGTATATATTGTAAATATACTTCAAAGTTTTCTCATTGTTTCATTTTTATGTCTTCTTTTTGTGTTTGTATCATTGAAGATAATATAACTCTCCAAACAGACTTAGTTATTAACACAATACTTATACCATCTAGATGCTGCAGGAGATAACAAGAGAAAAATATACAGGGTAAGTACTATTTATGATTTAATATTAAAAAGTTTCGTTCATTTACGTTTCAAGTCACAGAGCCAATTTAATACGATGCCAATTTCTAGAGCTCCCCAATTCCAGATATTTCTTGAGAAAGAAAGTAATATATTATTATAATTGGCAAAATATGAGTATGATGCCGCAAAACCAACTATAATTAGATGAACAAGTCAGTCGATATATTTGGATATTTCCACGAACTTCGTAAGTTCGTAGGTCTACAAAGAAATATCTCGGATTAAGCCAAAAATATACAATTTCAGCTACAAGCAGTATACACAAAACTTTTGTTGTTATATTTATAGAAACTATCTTACTATAATAATGTATTCTTACAGCAAAATTGTTCATTAAAATATCACAACTACCCTTATTACGTAGACACAAACTAAACTTAATTAAACTTATTTATAGAAGTTTCATCTGACTTGATTATTAATGCTTTGAGTCCCCAAAATCGAAGGCTGAATTGGGAATGGGCAACCGTGCTATGAAGTTTCGTGTTCCAAATACGTCAGATGCAGCCAGTCTGGCAGTCGGGCGATAACATTAATCCTAATGCTTGTACGTGTACCGTTTCTACAGAAATCGATTTATTGGTTCACTAGCTTTTACCCGCGGCTTCGCTCGCGTCACAAAAGGATAAAAAGTAGCCTATGTGACATATACCAATACACACAGCGCCATCTATACCAATACTTTTTTCCCTCGGTAATATCAAATTTTTCCGGGATAAAAAGTACCCTAACATTTAATCCGGACTTCTAACTTTACTTCTGCAAAAATTCAATGCAATCGGTTAAGTAGTTACGGCGTGAAAGCGGAACAAACAAACAAACTCACTTTCCGATTTATAATATTAGTAAGGATAAAGGATGCCACTCCTACTATGAAAATAATATCGAATTCTAAGTCAAATCATCAAGTTCAATTAGACTAATACATATGAGGCACTTTTGATCGTCAAACAAAAGTGTTAGTCTGTCGCTTAGTCCTCTAGTAATGTTATAAATTCCAAATAGTAGGTAGATTCTTATGTACAAGAATAAGCCAGAAACTTCATAGGTTCTACTTTTCAATCAGTTTTACAATACGATTCTACATTGTTAAGTGGTACTTAACAATGTGACTATCATGCCAGCTAGTTGTCGATTTTCGTAAAATAATGTGGTCTTTGATAAAATTGCGGTTATGTCTACCTTCCCTAATCGCTTGAATGAGCACGAATTCCTGCGAAAATGGAAACGCTATCTCAATTTGATGATAGGTATTTTTCACTGGAGAATTTGAATGCTTTCTAAAATTAAACATCAGTGTCAAATATTCCAATTCCTTGGGTTACTAATTTCTGGTTATGGAGGAGACGAAGTATGAAGACCCAGGTGATTTTTTAAGAATAATAATTGTTACTAGTGTCCTGAACTGTACCAAAATAAACTTTAGAAACTTATTTTGTTAAACATAAACTTTTTCTCCGTATACGGAACTAGCATATTGGCTTTTTAACTTCACGACGAGACGCCCGCACTCAGCGTAGCGTTGGCGTCAGTACAATACAACAAAACACGTACCTACTTCGATGTGATGTATACCAGCCATTCTCGGAAGTTCATTATACAAGTTTAAGGTTCATAAAATATAAGAAATGCTCGTTATTTTCATTTCCAACGTGCCTTTTCATGTTCTTCATTGAATCGAGAATATTAAAAGATAACAAATATAATAACGTTCGCACCAAAATTTTGCACAGCGAATATTTTGTTGCTCTCTGAAGGAATATTGAATATCATTGACCTAGATGTGTAATGATGTCATTTTGATCAAGTATTCGATTTGATTGTTACAGTGAAGATTGATCAATTGTAATTACTGATTGTACTGTACCTTTACATAAGTTATTATTATACTTAAAACAACATTTATTCACAAAATTATTGCTTTCTTTTCAAATAGAGGAAGTCATTTAAAAATTTACTTTTTGCAACCCCTTTTTTCATTTATTTAGATGGCGTCGTCAGACTTATCTACTTACTAGTGAATGTGTGGTACTAGACTAGAAATTAATAATCATAATACCGATGTGATAAAACTGTAGTGATATTTTTATCAGTCGACGAACATACACTATAGGACTTGGAACTCCCGTACCGCTATAATGAGCTACCCAAGGGTGATTCACATTACATTCTGTAGGCTACCACTTCTACATACTTATCTTTAGATGTTTAAGTCTCTACAAATAAAAAAGTACATACAAAACTATAATCATGCATTTTATATAAAACCTAAGTGATATTTTTGAAAATTCATACACTTATACTATTCCGGACGTAATTATTTACACAATTACAACAAAATCGGCAATATTATTTAGTTTTTATCATTTCCTTATGACTCGGCAAAATTCCATACTTTTTTAATCAAATTTTATCTTTAATATTTATTTATTTGAGTCAACTTAATACAACAACTGTATACAATCGGACTAGTCAACCTTTGAATAGTGCAAGGGTGATAGTAGCAGGTGATT